ACGCAATTTCTTGCAAACAACTGGCACTCCTCTAGCACCTTGTCATAAATAACCTCCATAGTGATCTCGCTCTGTGAAGTCAGAAATCATACTAGCACTATGTTCTGAGCAGGCATTTCTGCACAAATCTGGGATTTCACATTGGGTGAAGTGGGTGATCTTACTCTGTGAAGTCATAAATCATCCTAGCACTATGTTCCGAGCTGGCATTTTTGCAGAAATCTGGGATTTCACATTTGTGTTCAATGATCAGGGAGCGGGTGATCAGGGAATGGAAGGGGGGGAGCGACGTTCATTCGCCTCGCCACCAATCATGGCTTTGGAGAGCCTGAAAGAAGTTTGTTCACGTTTGTGTTGGGACATGACACGCCGTAATTTCAAGATAGGTGTAAGGAATTTTCTCAACATCCTGCAACATCGCGTACAGCAGCAGCCGTCGTTCGCCTGTTACTACTAACGAGGCTTCGCCGACTTCGCGCGTACTATTTTCCCAAACCTCGTATTGCTGGACCGGCCATGTCGGCCTACGCACGCACCTTAGCCCCTAGGAGCCGCTGTCCTCGCGTTCTCCCGTAAACGCGTGCAGCCACGACTGCGCCTAGACTAAGCCGAGCCGACGTCCCTCGTAATGGCTCAGCATATCGATGTCGCGACTCTCACGCAGGAGCACTTGAACGAACTGCTGCGGCAAATCCGCGAAAGCTCGGAAGAAATCGCGGCGCTGACGGCAGAACACACGTCCTTGCAAAATGACCTCGCACGAGCACAATCCCAAGCACCTGGCACTCCGATTCAGCCCGCACCACAAACATCGCAACACGGAAGTGTGGGGCAACCCGCGAGCGCCGCAAGTGATGGCGTCGTCCACCATGACGGAGACGACGACCATGGCACGACACACCCCTACGCGACGAATGCGGCCAAGAACCAACCTCGAGTCACCATTTCGGTGCCAGCCGGCGAATCAACCTTACCGTCACCGATGCCGTTGAAGCCGTAGCGTCCGCCATGTTTTGACCCAAGTCAGCGGGATGGTCCTACCGTTCAGGCATTGCTCTTAACGTTGAACGTCTTCTTCGACGCGAACTACGTCTCCAAGGATACGGCGAAGATTCGATATGCCGTGTCGTTGCTACGAGGACCCGCCATGGACTGATAGCGTGTCATCGTCATGAAGCCGGTGGACTACGCGACTCTGACAACACGGGAAGGACAAACCGGACCCTGGGCGTCGTCGTACTTCGTGGAGGTACCCCAGTATCGCACATGGGACGCGTGGTGCGCAGGTCTGCGCGCTCGTTTCGAGCCAATTGCGGCTTCGATCGCGGCGCGACAGAGGCTCCGCACTTGGCGCCAACTCGGTTCCGTCCAAGACTACACGAGCGGGTTTCTGGCGCTATGCGAGCACGTGGGATACATGCATGAGAGCGAGCGCATCGACCGCTACATCGGCGGCCTGAAGCAGGACATCGCTCAGGAAATCCAGCTTCGTGGCGTCACCGATTTTCAGGAGATTCTCGCCATGGCGAAAAAACTCGATTTCTTCCGCCGACCGAGAACGGGGTCCTACGGAAGCAGCCATTGGGGACATTGGCCTCGTGGGACAAACGAGGGCGCTACGGTACGTGCCATCGCCGCAAATGTCGCTGCCGCACCATTCAATGGGCGCTGCTTTGCGTGTTATCGGCCAGAACACCGCAAGAGCGAATGCCTGGAAAACGCTAAGGGAAAGGGGGAAGCTGAGCAGCGGAAACAAACCAAGCAGCAGAGAAACGTTGGGAGTCAGTAGTAGACGGGCCCTCTACTGAGAGGTCATGCCGCTCGTTTGACCCAACCTACCCTCACCGAGTGATTGTGCCGGTTCACGCAATCGACCACACCCGGCCGAATAAGGAGGGTACTACGGTAGACAACCCTATACTACTTAGTGGGAAGATCGGGACTGACTTAGTTAAGATATTTGTAGACGGAGGGGCCAGCCACAGCCTTATCAATGCTGCCACAGCACGAAAACTGCGACTGCCACTGGACAGATGTCTACGTGAGATCGACGCAAGACTGGTCGACGGCACGCCATTGGCAATACAGGAACGTGTGGACTGAGTTCGGATTCGATGCGGGGGTAACTTCACGTTTAGCCAGGAAATGCTCCCAACGACCCTCGACGGAACCGATATTTTGCTCGGGCGTGATTGGCTGCGACGACAGAATCCGCAAATCAACTGGACGACGTGTGACTGCACTGTGCGAGTGAACGGTAACAACATCGCCTTACCTCGCAAGTGTGAGTTTTTACGGGCCCGAGTGGAGTTTTTGGGACACATTATCTTAGCGCCCAACCGAATCTCTACCCACGACAGAACCGCTGGTTGGACTATCTGGAGTCCAACTTCCACTACACGGTCACGTACAAAAAAGGCGCATCCAACATTGCTGACGCACTCACACGCCCCACCGCCCAACTCCACGCCATCCTACTCGCCCAAACCAACCCCCTGTTAAGACGCCTATTCACCCACGGATACAGTACCGATCCATTTTTTCACGACCGGAAATTCACAGCAACTGGCAGAAGCCAGAGGAGTCTTTTATGTAAAAACAAGCACCAACCACATCTGGGTACCCGGGTACTCGCTACTTAGGGAACTGTTACTGTAGGAGGCACACGACAGGATTACCTCGTGACATTTCGAGGTAGAAAAAGGGCGACAACAACTGCAGCGGTATTACTACTGGCCGGAGGTGTTGACCGACGTGCAGCACCACGTGGGCTCGTGTCCTACGTATCAGGTGATGAAGAGCTCGCGTAAAAGAAAGGCGGGTCAGTTGCAGCCGATTCCACCGCCTGAGCGCGCCTAGCAGCAAGTTACCATGGATTTCGTCACGGGATTACCTGCGAACCCTGGGGGTAAGGACGTAGTTATAGTCGTCGTTGACAGGTTGACAAAGATGGCACACTTTGCTGCGTGCAAGAAATCGAACTCAGCCGAATAAACCGCTCGCCTGTTCATCGCAACCGTCGTTCGACTGCACAGGATACCAGCCGCGATAATCAGCGACCGCGACACGAAGTTCACCAGCAACTTCTTGATGAACCTCTAGGAGCACTTCGGGACAAGGCTACAATTCAGCTCGTTGTACCACCCCGAGACCGACGGTCAAATGGAGCGGACGAATCAGACGATGGAGCAATTGATTCGTGCCACGTGCGACGACCCGACCACTTGGGAGCAGCAGCTGCCGCTGATCGAGTTCGCGTATAACAACGCCACGTCAGCGACGACGCAGCAGTCCCCCTTCTACCTGAACTACGATCAAAACCCTACAGTGCCCATGACGCCGAGTCCGGACAACCCAACACCACGTGCACAGCAATTCGCCGAAATTCTACAAGCTACCCGCACCAGAGCCGCTGAAGCAATTAAAAAGGCCAATGTTATCGCTAAGCGCAACGCTGACCGTCACCGCCGCCCAGTCACGTACCAGTCAGGAGATTACGTACTGCTCGACACACAGAACTGAAGACTGCCCGTCGTACCGAAATTGCGACCCTGCTACTGTGGACTATTCCAGATCAGCCACATGATTACCCCAGTGATAGCCCACCTACTGTTGCCGACAGACTGGTACATCAGCCCTTCGTTCCACGTCAGCCTACTTTGCCCATACATCCCAACGACAAGCCAACTGCCTCGTCACCGCCCGCCATCCATGACTCGCCCTGCATCGGAGCCGATCATCGAGCCCGAAAAAATCTTGAGCCATCTGATTCGACACCCCACGGGAATTAGGAGGATTGAATTCCTCGTTCACTGGAAGGATCGCACGCCAACTGAAGATAGCTGGGTGCCCCTGGCCAACATCGAAAACCACCCTGCCCTGCAAGTGTACCTGAGGAGCCGGGGTTTCCGCGATATACACGCACTCGCGTAGCGGAGGGGGGCTTCTTGAGGTGGGGGGGTAGTGTAAGGAATTTTCTCGACATTCCTTAGCACACCCTGCAACATCGCGTACAGCAGCAGCCGTTGTTCGCCCGTTACTGCTAACGGGGCTTCGCCGACTTCGCGCACACTGTTTTCCCAAACCTCGCACTACTGGACCGGCCGTGTCGGCCTACGCTTCGGGACTAGCCCGAGCCTCGCGTCCAGCGTAGCACTAGCTAGCTCGCACGCACCGCGTTACCGTTTGCATGTTTCCCGTATAAATGTTCGCTCATGCCTTCACTCACATTTTGTACTCGTTTGACACCTTAGTGCAATTCTCCTTACTCCGATTCATTGCACCCGTAACAATTGGCATTCTTTTGTGAGCTACTACACTTGGAGGAATACATCTTCCTTGATAACGTGATGTGGACAATGGGACTGCTGCTGGGAGTAGTGTTACAAAGAAACAAATCAAAATTTGATTCAGCGTATAGCATTGAAAGTCCTACTACACAAGCTACTTAGGGCGTGTTCCTACGGCCCCTTAGCAAGCGACCTCTTGTCAGACTTGTGCGGTTCAATGCGTTTTAATGCGATCGAATGTTGTTACGTGTGTTTTCAGTGCGGTGCAACAATCTGACAAGAGGTTGGCCTGATAAGAGGCCACAGGAACACGCCCTTATGATAGGTACTTTGACCAGCACAGTGGACATCTCTTAGCTCCTAGCACTTTTGTCAAATATATATGTGACTACAGTGGTGCCAAAACAGGTCATGCACTTGAGTATTGGGATGTCATTAGACTGATGTCAACCTGAGGTGCCTCCTTGTCAATACTGCTGTTGTGATGACTGAATTGTCTGTGCCGCCTTTAGGTGCTCGTTGCTGTATGCCTTGAAATAAGGGTGTGTGATACTTGTGGCGAATTGATGTTGCTACGTGCAAGGTCAGTGATGCTGAAGTGGTTCCTGCTTGAGTGATGCAGATACTGCTGCCTGATCGAGTGGTGCTGATGCGTCTGCCTACTGGTTCAATGCTGTTGTTGCAGCCTGCTTACATGATGCCTCTGCCTGCTTAAGAGGTGCCACTAGGTGCCTGCTTGAGAGGTGATGGTGCTGTCGTATGCTGAACGGCTTCCTGAGGTTCGGACACTGGTGCTTGCTGAGGAAGTGCAGCTGTTGCTGCATCCTGAGGTGCAGAATCTGGTGCTTGCTGAACAGGCGCTGATGCTGTTGGTGCTTCTTCGAGATTGAGAACCCCTGCCACACCAGCATTCAGATGAAGTGTTGGCATAGCCGCAACCTCAGTAAGTGCTGATACCGTTACAGGCTGAAGTGATGCTGGTGCCACTGGCACGCTCGCCACAGCTGGTAGAGTCACTGGACTGTTCTGCACCAGGGACGCTGCAGAAGCATTGGCCTTGCTGTTGGCAATGGCTGACAGAAGGAACGGCGTGAGCTTTGGTCGTGGCCCTGAGGGGTACTTAGATGGAGGTGGACGGGGAGGAGGTGGGAGAGGAGGGGACCTTCCGCCCAGAATGGAAGCACCAGATGCACCACCAACCACCTCCTTCCTTTCCTCCTTATCTTCCTTCTCAGTTGGCAATGGCACCTGCAGCAGAGATTGTCGCTGTTGTTGCTGCTTAGGCCTCAGCTGTTGCTGCATTGCACTCTGTGGCTGTCCTTGTGGCAGGTGCAGCATCGGGTGCTGTGCCTGTGGCTGCTGAGGCTGGTGAGGGTGCTGTGGCTGCCGAGGCTGATGGACCATTGGCTGATTTGGCTGCAGATGCGGCTGTGGTTGCTGCCAAGACTTGGGACCCAAAGGCTGCTGGTGCCGTGGCTTGTCACATGACTTCAGATTCCATGCAACTCCCACTTTAGGCATGACCAACAGGTGGCGGCTGCTCTTTGCGGGGCTTCCAGAAGCTGCAGCAGCTGTAACAGGAAAAGCGGTAGAGGAAAGGGGAGCTCCGGAGGTAGGAGGAGCATCAACCAGAACGCTGGTGTTGGTAACTGTCTGCACCTTGTGCATACTGTTGCTCTGCACCCCGCCCTGAAGAGGCGCCTGTTGCTGTTGCGTGGAGTGACAATGGCAGCAGCACTGGCACTCGTTGCTGGTAGCGAAGGCAGGAAAAGAGGTGTTAAGGGGTCGATGTGATGGCAATATAGCAGGAGCTGGAGGAAGTTGCAAGCGGCGAGATGCAGGGGAGAGCGGAAAAGCTTGAAATGCAGGAACAGAAGATGATGGGGCCATGGTTGAGCTAGGCTGCTGCATTGGAAATGAGAGTGGCGAAACCAGAGAGGGAGACATACGTGGTGCAGAGAAAGCGCCAGCAGTAGTAGGGCCTGGTACATACGCTCCTTGCAAAGGCAGGTCAGTGCAAGACGCAGGAGCAGCAGGCGATGGAAGCATGAGCGCCTGTGCCTGCCTGACATTGGCGAGGTGACGCAGATTTGATTGGCTTGGAGGTGCGCGTATACGAGTAAAGTTCGGGTAGGAGAGCAAGCGAGCAGGTGGGTCGGCAGCTGCAGCAAGAGGTCGTGAACATGACAGTACAGCTGCTTGGGGGACTTCAGAAGCTGCTAGCATAGCTTGCGCCGAGAGCGCTGCAGATGGAAGGTGGAGTGGTGCTGGGTCTTCAGCAAAAATGGGGTTGCTCTCAGTTGACGAAGGACTGCCTGAGGCTAGATGCAGTGGAGACATGGGGGTCTCCTCCAGGAATTTTGCCAAACCGTGCAGCTCAGGAATGATCCCGTCAACATCATCATAGCCTGCATGACCTTTGCTTATGTCAGAAAATGCACCAGGAGACGAAATAATGGAAGGAGCAGCATTGGTACCATCTGCAGCGGCCACGAGATCAACAGCAGTGGAGTTGTATTGCGAGTCAGCAGTGCGGACTGAGTCGCCTCCTGAGAAGTGGTGGTTATGTCGGTTACCTTGAAGCACAACAGGGTCCTCGCACTCGTCTCCATCTGCCAAGAAATGGTTGACAATGTCTGTACAGCTCCCTGAACGACAAAGCTTATTCCCAGACTCCTTCTGTCCTGAACCGCTTGCGCTCCCGCCTTCCCCTGTTAGACAATCTGTGACTGTGGTGGTTGCGGTTGTGGGAACTGCAGTGAACGAATCCGTTTCTATGTACGAGCTCCAGTCATCCATACCACCACCGCTGACATTTCCTCCAAATGCACCGCCGCTCGCACCATCATTGAAGCTGAAAGTGGCTGCTCCCGAACTCCCCTGAACATTTTCACAGCCGCTCTTTGATGGTTGCCACCAATGGTCGTCGCCAAATCCAAGGGGACCTGAGACATTATCACGTGAGTTACAAGCAGCGCTCTTGCTGCTGTGACGTAAAGCAAAGAGAGCGTCAATCTCGCTCTCAAGATTTTCACCATCTGACTCACAATAAATATAATGCTGCGCCTTCTTAGCCTGCTTTGGTCCGGCCTTAATCCCGGTCACAGACGGAGCCCTGTTGCTGTGAATCAATGACAGTCTCGGCCTGGTCTCAACGGGTGCAGGAACCGGATTCATTCGCGGAATACTGGCAGTCATCTGGGTCTGTCGTCGCCGTGCCGCCGTTTCCGCCAAAAAATCGATACGCTCTGAGATATGATCCGGTACTGCAAATGTAGCGACAGACGCTGGGACATTGATCGACCTTAGCAGATGGGCACATCCCGGAGAGTCAGCGACGATGCCGTCAAGAGCTCCTTCGCCGATAAGCCGAGCCGTTTCTTTCGCGAGAGCAGTCCGAAACGCCGGGCCGACTACTCCACCGCATTGCTCCCTGATGTCAGCCATGTTCGATGCGTACATGCGACTCCTTTCAAAGTTAAGCCGGGTATCAGCTCCACGGATAGCCAGAGAAGCTGCGTCGTAAGCAAAAGCCGCTTCTTCAGCCGTCGTGAACGTTCCGAGCCATAGGCGAATATTATCCGTGTCACGAATCTCCGATGCCCATTTTCCCCAAGCACGTTGTCGCACACCACGTAAATGAAAATGAGAATATGAAAGGATCGTTGGAGACCTGCGCCGCTTCTTTGGCCTTTCTTGGACTGAAGCGACGACGTCTTTGGAGCCTGGCGCGTCTGACGTGTCCGCATTAGCCTTTAAACCGTTGACCGTGTATGCATCACGTTCTAGGCCGTCTGCTTCGTCTTCACGGCTGATAAGCTTCTTAGTCTCGACGTTACTGCCTGCTCCAGCAACATTGTCCTCTGTTTCAGTCTTGGGACAGGTTGAGAACCTCTCCTCATCCAGCAGAATGTCCACCTTTTCTGACGGGAGTAAGCCGGTACCATCCATGATGTCGCAGAAAGCAGTCCTTAATCACTGTTTAAACGACGTAACAGTAACCTGCATACGACAAGATTCTCCTCTGATGAGATGCTAACACAGCGCCATGGTGGCTCTTCCGATGGTCCTCAGTAATGTAGCATCGCCTGAAAAGGCTGCGAGCTTGTTGTGAAAAAAAAAAGAGATGTCCCGTTTGAACTCTTCGTGCAACAATCTTCCTCCCACGCCAGCCTTTCTAGACGCTAGCTCGCGCCTAACAAACATTCAGGCTCCCTGGAAGACTTTCATGCAAAATTCAGATGCCTGAATATCTAATCTGTAAGAAGTGCTTGGCAGGATATCTTCAGGAAAATCAGAAGTGTCAGAGCAGGAAAAGGAGGGTGAAGGCATCACAAGTTCACTTGATGTTCTGTCTGCGCGGTTGAGCACGGTGCTGCGCAAAGAGAAGCGGTTTAAGCGCATTACCGTATTAAACCGCTACCCATCCGTCCGAAACCTGATAACTCGGAGCCCATGCGACGCGCATCAGGCAAACAAGCGTCAGGAGGAATCATTTTCTTTCCTGGTGGTGGTGGTGGTGGTGATGCGGAAAGGATGACCTTGTTCCCTTTTTCACCTGACATTCGGAATTCCGTCCGAGCACGTCATCGCGCTGGAGACTTCTGATTGGTCGAAAGTGGGGCCAGCGCCAGAGGGGCTGCAAGAACACACAAGGGCTGGGCGATAATTCAGAAGGCCAACAGTGTGTACTGTGGACCGTCACATCATCAAGAGAAGCGACACGGTCATTGGAGCGATACAGTATGTACAGAACCAACCTGACGACGACGTTTATCGGGTCGGTCGGCGGGGACCTGAGAGCAATGTATAGTGATTTCATGGAGTACTCGTTTTGAGAAAGTTATTCGGTGGTGTAGTTAGTACTTTTTTTCTGGTAGGTAAATAAATGTTTGTGTGTGATTGTTAATATGTTTCACACTTAGTAGTGACATTATTGTGTTTTTGCGATATCCATTTTTCTCACTTCCAAGATGCTGTAGATGCTGTGACTGTTTTGCCTTTTTTGTGTTATTTTGTTTTCTTATTTTTCTTTGTTTAACCCAATCTTATATTTTTGTTGTCTCCTTTTGTGCGTAAGCTCAGATTAGTTTTTCGATCTGGGCGCTTGAATCCTACCGAAGCAGAACATCGAAGGTCCATAATGTTTTATTTTTTGCAAAAAATGAGTCATTTGTACTTTTGTGTTTTGATTTTTTTATGTTATAATTGCTGGTCTGATTTTCATACGTTGGTTATATTTAGGCATGTAAAATATAGAGTCAAACATTATATATGTTGTTGTGTTTGTTTAGGCTACAGTGGGTTACCCTATAGGGGGTACACAATTCTAGGGTTAGGTACTTGTACTGTTTTCAATGCTAGTCCATTCATTCCTGTTCCGTTATTCCAACATGGTATCAGAGCAGGTCCTTCCTAGGACCGAATTTTTTTAAGGGCCCACCACTACATACCTACCTACCTACCTACCTGCGCCCTAGGGCGCCTCGGTTTTTTCACGGCCACCTAAGGCCCCGACGGCCCGCCCCTAGAGGCCCCGAACGGCCCCCGCGCTCACCTCCCTAGAGGTCCCCTACGGCCCCGTTGGCCCCACGCTTACCTCTCTAGAGGCCGCGTACGGCCTCGCGATCGCCCCTAGAGGCCCCGTCGGCCCCACGCTTACCTCCCTAGAGGCCCCGTACGGCCCCGCGATCGCCCCTAGAGGCCCCGTCGGCCCCACGCTTACCTCCCTAGAGGCCCCGTACGACCCCGCGATCGCCCCTGGAGGCCCCGTCGGCCCCGCGCTTTCCTCCCCTAACGGCCCCGAACGGCCCTGCGCTCGCCCCTAACGGCCCCTTACCGCCCCTCCTAGCTCGCTGCCCCACTGAGCTCACCATTGCCCTCCTTAAGAAGGAACTACTTGCAGCTAAGACTAGCATAGTCGCTGTAGATGCCTCTCGTGGCGACCCCCGTACCCCGTTCTTTGAGGGGTGTTCTCCTTCCCCCCTTCTTCCCTCTATCGCCTCTGCTGCTGCTGTCGACCTCCTTGGTGCTGAGAAGGTCGGTACTGAGTCTGCTTCGAGCGGGCGCCGCATCGGCAAGGGCAAAGGGGGCAAGGATGGTGGCGGTGACGGCGGCGGCCGCGGCCGTACTTCGTTCTGCTCCTTCAGCAGGTTCTTGGTTCGCTCCCTCCTCCGTGTCCTCCTCCCTCCTCAGGGTGTCCTCCGTCTGCCCAGCTGCCGTCGCAGCTACCGTCTGCCTCCTCTCTCCCTGGTCCTGCTCCTTACACTGGTCCGACTAGAGGTCTTACTGAGCATCGTGAGCCTGAGTCTCGTCCTGCGTCGCCTGTCCGTGCTGCTCTCACTGGTAGTCGTGTCCAGCGTCAGCGTCTTCCTGCTGTCCCAGGCACTCACCGGATGGCGCTTCGTCCGTCCACTGCTCCACAGCGTGTCCCACTACCGTCTCCTCCTGCTTCCTCTCTTCCTGCTCTTGCTGACCCTGGGTCAGACTCCCTTCGTGCCGCCAGTCCTACTGTCACGCGTCTCGTGGCTACTGCTGTCACTGACCCTTCCTTTGAGTCCGCTGCTGCGTCTGCCTTAGTTGCTGAGCTTGTCGACTTTGCTGCCACCTGTCGTCTAGACTACGCTGCTAGCCTGGTTGCTGAGTCTGAGTCTGTCTGTCCTCCGTCCGTCGGGGGTGAGTGTGCTCTTGGCACTGACGTCCTTGAGGATAGGCAGGAGGAGTTTGAGTACTTTGCTGCCGCTTTGCCCCATCTCGTGTCCATGCTTATTGCCCCTGAGGGAGACCCGGATGCACCAGACATCCTGAGCCCACGCTCTTACGCAGAGGCGATGGCCGGTCCCTACTCCTCTCAGTGGCAGCCGGCCATGGACACAGAGATGGCTTCCTGGAAGTCCACAGGCACCTACGTCGACGAGGTTCCCCCGCCTAGGGCGAACATCATCAGTGGCATGTGGATTTTCAGGGTGAAGCGGCCGCCGGGCTCTCCGCCTGTCTTCAAGGCGCGTTACGTTGCACGAGGCTTCAGTCAGCGAGAGGGAGTTGACTTCTTCCAGACCTTCTCCCCGACCCCGAAGATGACCACTCTTCGGGTTCTGCTGCACGTCGCCGCTCAGCGTGACTACGAGCTCCACTCTCTTGACTTCAGCACTGCTTTCCTGCAGGGCAGCCTGCACGAGGAGATCTGGCTGCGCCGTCCACTTGGCTTCACTGGGTCGTTCCCTCCTGGTACCCAGTGGAGCCTCCGACGGCCAGTCTACGGTCTCCGCCAGGCGCCACATGAGTGGCACGACACGCTGAGGACTACACTTGCGGCTCTTGGGTTCGCGCCTTCTACTGCT